TTTTTTTTTTATCATTTCACCCCAAGCAAGGCAAGAATGCCACTACTACACAGGGTTACAGAGAAGGAAAGTGAGAGAAAAGACTGAGTATTTGGGGGGGGGGGATTGAGGAAAGGATAAAAGATGAACAGAATTCAGGAAGGTGGAAGATGGCAATTGACATTGCATTTAATTTTTTGAAGATTGTACTTATGAGGGAAGCAATTAAATGGAAGGGAGTTCCACATGCGGCAAGTGTGAGAAAAGAAACTATTGGAGTAGAAGTAGCAGTTAAATTTATTTGAACAGCAAAAGGGTGGGACCTAGATGCCAATGTAGTAGCATGCTTAAATTCATGTAGTCAGGGCAACAGGGGTGGGGGGAGCTCATCAGAGCAGTTGCCATGAAAATATTTGTAGAAATAACAGAGAAAAGTGACTGAAGTCGAGATGCCAAGTCAGGATCAATTACATTGCAGATCCTTCTATGTAAACATGTGAGTAACAAACCTTTAAGGAAAATGGAAACAAAAAAGATGATTATACTTACAATCAGAAAGAGAAAACTGAAATTTTAATGACACATAATGAGGAAAGAGGGCTTGGAGAATTTGACACTCACAAACAATAAACATATTGAAGGCAAGAGAGATAGAAGTAAGCAAGTAACTTACCTAACGAGCTTGTGTAAATGGATGTCAGAATAAGAAGGATGGTGAAACAACAAATCTTACTAAGAACTATAAAGATAGTGGAGAGCCATGATCACTTATGTCCTGAAGGGATATAATGCACAGAAGAAGATTTACATACAAATTAAAAGCAAGCTAGAATCCCCTTTAAAAAATAAAACTGTTTTGGGATCTTCCATTAGTTCCAATCTTACATCGTAGAAACTTCAACAAATTGTTTCAATAGAATAAAATTCAATTCTAGAAATTATGGCACTTGTTTTTGCTCTTTCAGAACCACAAAACAAAAATAAAGTATGATGAAAAAACAAAATCAGTACAATAGTTTGATATTTCTATAATACCAAGTTTCCAACTTGTTGACCTTTTTAAATTTTCAAGTGTTTACTTTCTCTGTTTGTCTCAATTTCCATGTAAAAATGATGCCATGAAGTATTTTCTGTAAGCATAAAAACAATACTTTTAAAAATTTAAAAAGAAAAGAATCCCTACAGAATATCTTCTGTGTCAGTCAGTCAGTTATATGCCATGTGTGATACCCACTTAGGCGATCATGTATCTTTTGATACATGACTGAAGAAGCAGATTTTTTTTTCCCTGCATTAGGTTGCCATTTTTTTTCTGCAGTAGACCACTTGCCATCCAAGGCTATAGAACCTGGTTTGTCCTGCTGTTTACCCATAGCTTTGATAAGAAGAGGATTCATACCTTTCATGACTGAAGAGGCAGATGTCTTCCCGCAGTATATTGCCATTTCTTTCTGTGGTAGACCAGTTGCCATCCAGGGCTATAGAACCTGGTCTGTCCTGCTATTTATTCATAGCTTGGGGTGGGGAGAAGAGGATTCATACTTTTCCCAAGGCTATTAGCACGTAAGTGAATGTAATGGATTCAACTGGAATTTGAACTTGGCTCTCTGATTCCTCAATCTGAGCCGTTATCCATTACTCCACTTTTGTGTCAGTATATTGATGTAATTATGCTAAACAGGTTCTTTTATTATGATTATTATTCATTTTTGACTAGTATTTCTTTCTTTTTAATTTCAGTGGCTTTTTTTATTGTAACTTCCATGTTGACATTCCACAACCATTAGTTAGAAAAATTGGCAATACTTCACAGAAATTTAACAGATAATGTTTAATGTTACTTGTGTATTTATGGCCAAATCATGTTGAAACACCAGTTCTTGTACAGTCACTGAAATTAAGTAAAGTTGAGCTTGGTCAGTACTTAAATGGGTGACTACTTGGGAATACCAAGTATCATAAGCTTGCATGCTCAAGTGGTGTAATGGATAACAGCTCGGAATTAGAAATTGGAGATCCAAGTTCCAGTCCCAGTCGGAATGCTCAAATACCCTTGGGAAAAGGTATGAATTCGCCTCTTTTCCCCTCAGCCATGGGTTAATTAGGACTTGTATCAGTAAATCATTACTATTTTCAAAAGATTCTTACAATCTAAACATAATTTTCTGGTTTTAAGTAACCTGCAAAAGGTTGATAAGTCATAAAAAAACGAATCAATCAATACTTGTGTAATAAAAAAGAGAAATAAGATGAAAGAAATATAAGTTGATAATTGACAGAAATTTGCATATCACTTTTTTATTTTTCTTAAATCATTTCACCCCAGGTAAACCAATAAAGCCACTAAGGAACAATGGGTTATTGAGTGTGAATGAATATGAGAAAAGGAAACACATTGTTAAGGAGTTTTGTAACCTAGAGAAGGTTACTGAATATGATGATTGGTAATGAACGATAATACTTAGGACAAGAACAACACTTATAAGATTCACTAGCAGCATGTAGAAGTAGTAGTCAACTGCTAGAAGTGAGTCAAGTGAATTCCACAATTAATCTCCAACTGTAGACTAACGTACAGTATTTGCTACTGTATTTATGTGAATGGGGACATATCCATTATCATCCATAGGTAAGCTACAATACTTACATATACCAGCTATAGTTTTGATTTGGTAGTGGCTCAGTATATTTAAATAGGAAAGGTTACTGAATAGAATAATCACACAAAGGTTGGTAATGAACAATAATACTTAGGACATGAACAACACATATAAGATTTGACAGCAGCGTGTAGAAGTAATAGTCAACTGCTAGAAGTGAGTCAAGTGAATTCCACAATGAATCTCCAACTGCAGACCAACATACAGTATTTACTACTGTATTTATGTGAATGGAGACATATCCATTATTATCCATAGGTGCACTACAACAATTAATATTTAAGCTTACCTATTAAAAGTGCAACAATAATTTTTCTGCCACAAATTAATTTAAAGCTTTTTTTTGTTTATTTCTTACAGCCATTGCATTTCACTTGATTTACATAAAGATTCCCAAAAGATTTCTGTTTATATTTTATCAAACTAGCTTCTGTGGAGGTATCTTGAGCGGGCCATCATCACAATGGACAGGGAGGAGTAGATGCAATAGGCAACAATAAACTACAGAAGAACATAAAATTGACAACTGCATTTAAGTATTGCATTAATGTTGTAACATAGAGAAGGTTACTGAATAGAATAATCACACGAAAGTTGGTAATGAACGATAATACTTAGGACACGAACAACACCTATAAGACTTGCCAGCGGCACATAGAAGTAGTAGTCAACTGCTAGAAGTGAGTCAAATGAATTTCACAATGAATCTCCAAATGCAGGATATCTACCAAATGCCCCACATGGTCAGATGTGGCACAAGGTCGAATTTAACGTGGGGTATCCAAGCCCATAAGCTCGGCCCAATATTCCACGTAGACCCCCATATAAAACTATCAGATACATGTTTCCCAAGATGTGACTCTGCCCTTCAACATATCCTCATCTGGGGATCCTCTCTGCCCAGAGACAGAGAATTTAACCAGCACAGCTGGAGTCAAATCTCCAACTGCAGACCAACATACAGTATTTACTACTGCATTTATGTGAATGGGAACATAGGATTATCATCCGTAGGTATGCTATAACAAAGAGAGTACAATAAAAGAATGAGTATTTAGACAGAAGATAACTATTAACATTGCATTTAAATTTTTGAAGATCAAAGTTGACTGGAAAGCAAGAATCTAGAAGATTGCAATTGATACTATGTGTATTAAAAAAAAATAAAACTAAAGAAATGTTTTTATCTGAATTTTGCTACATGAAGTGTATATGGTTGCTTCTGACTAATTTTCTTCCTACCCTATTTTGGATGTTTACTCTCCATCTTTCTCAAAGTATCTGTTGCTCTTTGGATTGTCATTGAATCTTCTTGGCTTAATGGTTAGCAAGCTAGAATTATTATTCCAAAGTAACAAGTTCAATCCTCACTGATATCTTATACTTGTGATTTTGTACAATAAGTAAATAACTGGAGTAGATAAAAGATAGTCTTTGTAATTAGTAAAAGAAATTGAACCCAATACCCTAACTATGAAGTCTTTCATTTGCAGTAAATAATTAGTATGCTTTGGTAAACACTACCTGTGAAAATATGTTATGTGTGACTATTAGATTAGGTACCTCCCAAGAAACACGAAACCAAAGATTTAAATGAAATTTTAAAAAATAAAAGATCTCTTTTGAAACTTTTATTTTAGTTTAATTTCAAGAAAATAGATTAAAATGAATATTTCCAATATGCAAAATACTTTGCTGTATTTCATATTTAATTTAAATTGATTAGAATGAGTTTTAATTGCAAAAAAAAAAATGGCAGATTTTAGCCATATTTACAATTCTCTCAGCAATTCTCTTTATTAAAAAATCTTTCAAAAATAAAATATACCTTTCTGAAACTTTATTTGAAGAAGATGAGCTGATTTAAGGTTTAATTAATCTAATTTGAAACCAATATTACTTGTAGTTTAAAATATCACAGAAATGTGTTTGTTTTTTTTTATGATGGAGTTGGGTATTTTTTATGAAGTGTTGACAGCTGGAAATTTTTAACTAATTTTTTTCTACAGGGGACATATGTGTAAAAATTACTTGACAAATATAATGTGAGCACCTTTTTTATATAATTTTTTAGCTATCCAGTAATCTTTAAAATTTAAGAAAGTATTCTAAGTAATATGTTTTATTGCATTTTAAGTACTTTGACCTTAAATTTACTATAATTGCCACTTTTATTTTCTTATAATGTCATGTATGGACGTCCGTATTTACAAAAACTGACACATTTATACACATATAAAAAAAATTGTTAAAATTTTACTCTGACTATAAAGAATTTGAAATCTGACTATTTGCTGTGAAGTTATTTTGTTTAAAAGCAACTCATTTTCTTTTCTTTTCTTTTTTTTTTCTTCTTTTCAGGCAGAAAACTTACTTCTTGATGCAAATATGAACATAAAAATTGCTGGTAAGTTTCATTAACTCAACTTGATTGACACACAAGTGTGGCAATCAATTGTCTTTAACTTTTTGGTCTGAAAGGACTTAGATATGCACTTTTCAGACAGATTGTATATTTAATACATAATTTTTTTTTTTTGCTTTTATCCTAGTTGTTGACACATTTCTGTTTATATTATTTTGATTATTAAATCTTTATTTCTCCATGAGTGGTAGGGTAATTTTGTGACTCTGTGAATGAGACAAAATAGATGATAGTGTGTGAGATATGGTCTTCAAAGCGGTCACCCACTTGAATGAAAAGCAATAAGTGAATAAATAAATAAATGAAAACTTTTGAGGTCAAGTGACTGCAAACTGGATGCTGAGGATTTTCTAGTGGCAGATCTATATTCCACTGCCCATGTCTAGGGTCATCTCCTAGATCTTATTTTTAGTACTTTTTTTTTTTTCTAAAAATAAGAACTATACGAGATATCCCTAGATATGGTCAAAAAACAAAAACAGTCTACCTCCATAAATTTTAAATAAAGGGTTCAGTTGAGAATTTCCTGCAGATTAATCAGATTGAAATGCACCTGATGAAGAGCAAAGGGCAAAGCAGCTGAAATGTTGTGATAACAACAAAGACGTGGACAAGAGTTTGCATGTAAATAGACAAGATCAAAAGTTTCATATCTTTAGAGTAATGCTTTAGCCATAATTAATATATCTTCATCTTTATGTGCTATGTCCCTCCCCTCAGGACATAGGCAATCATGGCTCTCTACTACTTTCTGTACTTTGTAGCTCTTGCTCCTAAGCCCTGTTCCACCATCCATTTATATTATACAGTGTTTTACTCTGTCCCTCTTGCCCTCAATCTGTCCTCTGGGTATACTAGTTTCAAATATATTCTCTAGATTGTGGTTTGAACCAATTATCTTCATAATCTTCTCAATCATATTGCATACTTCATTCATCATTACAATTTTAAGAGTAACCCTCTACCTTGAGTGGATCTTGAGCCTTGTATTAGGTAAATTTTAAAATTGAAAAGAAAAAACAATATAATGTATACAGTTACTACTGACAGTATCAACAGTTCCCAATTTTTTATTCAAAATGTGAATGTTCCCACAACTTTTTTTTTTTTTTTTTCTCTTAATTTCTTTAAATATCTTTCTCCAAAAATACATGTCACCAGCTTCCAAGTTTATTGTTTTTTCGTTTTTTTTTTTTATCTTATTTCATATTTTGAGCAATTATCTGATACCTTTGGATAAAAATGTTATCGCAGTGATCACAGCAAGAGAAAAATTTTGCCATTTACAAAGTTGTTTTTCTCTAAACACTTTGACATTTAACTAGAAAATGTCATAAATCCATTTTTCAATCAGGGCTATTTTCAAATGCAGAAATCTTAGAATTTTATTTTATCTGTACCTTTTTAGTTTAGTTGTTGATTGCTCGATTCATTCCTTTCTTTTATATATATATATATATAAGCTTTTGACCCAGAAATGCCTGGTATTGAATGAAGCATTGTATCAAAAAAGGTAAATGTTACGACCTGTCAATGTCACTCATTCAAAAAAAACAAAAAACAAAAAAAAAAACATCATTTAATAATTGTGTTTGCCTCTTCCTTCATACGACCATTACACTCTGCCAATACCTCATAATTAATGGACTATTCCATTTTGATCCTGTGGAAAGACAAAAGACACATCAGAGGAACGACTTGGTCTCAGTGAGAAAATGAAAGAAAGAAAGGAAGATAGAAGTATTTAACCGCTGTTTCAGTGAAATGGAAAAAGTTGTCAATTTCAAATCTTTTCATTTGTACCCACTTCTTAAAATAACATTGATATTCATGTTATTGCAATATTTTGTTAAAGTGGTTAAGCTCAAATATTTAACAATGCAATAGGAAAATTTCTACAGATATTGTCATAGAACTTGCCATGAGCTTATTCAATCATTAACTGAAGAATTAAGGGGCATCAGAAATTTAAAATAGGAAAACCATGAAACTTTCATTGGTTAAAACTAGTCTAAAAAATGAATAAGCTTGGCATTATAAATATTTATCAAGATTAGAATAGCTTATTAAGATTCTTGAATGAAAACTACCTGACAAAAGCATTAAATATATTTCAAATTTACACCTCAGAATTTTTAAACAGTTTGAATTGAATTTGCTATATGGAAGACTTCAATTACCAAGCCAGTCATCCCAAGATGCAAGCTATGAATTGAAAATGAGGAAGTACAGAAATTTATCTGGGAATTGTTTTGACACACAGCAGAAAATGTGAAAAAACAAATCCTAAAGTGCATTGGAAAAATGAAAGATGGCTTCCAAAAGGAAAATAAAATTTTAAGAAATAGGAACATTTTGTTAGAAAGAAAAGAGTGCTGAACTGCCATGTAATATCAATCCTCTTATGTGGCAGCGAATGCTAGACAATTTCCAGATGAAGTGAGTTGAAGCAACAGACGTGACTCTGCAGAAGGATGCTGAGAATACTATTGATGGATCATGTGAGAAACAAGGAAATGGGAACAAAAAGGACACTTGTTCTTAACATCATAAAAAGTTGAAATTTTTAATGAGGACAGAGAATTAGAGAATTTGACATCCACAGGACATTGAGATAGAGGAAAGCAGCAAGTAATCTACTTATTAAGTTTTTGTAAATGGAGGGCAGAATAGGAAATAGGCAGGATAATAAAAGAACATTGTTTAAAGCTGCAAAGGATAGGAAGTTGTGGGGAGCCATGATTACCCACATTATGAAGGCACATAGCAAATAATGAATATATATTTATGAATTATAATCAAGCACAAGCATCTCCTGAGTAAAGAAACTTAATCCATTATTTTTTTTTTTTTTTTTTTGAAGGATCTAAAAAACCTCTTGAAACATATTTCATAGGAAAATATTACCCAGCCCCCCATAAGATTGTTTTTAATAATTATAATCCAAATTGCTATAGTTACATATAAAAAAAATCTTAACACTGGTATAAAACTTTTCCCTGATGATATTTATTCAGAATAAATATGATTTTACAAAGTTTTGTTTTTGTGAACCTCCCACATGCAAAACAACTTTTATTTTGTAGAGATTTAATGGTTTCTTGTTATTTTTTGTTTCTTTGTTTTGGTTCATGCAAGGTGATAACATTGCTAAAACACAGAGGGTTACTGAGGGTGAAAGAAAATAAGAAAAATCATTAGTAAGTTGAAAAGACAAAAAGAACAGGATTTAAGAAGACAGAATATGACAACTGATGTTGCACTTATTTTTTTGAAGATTGTAGCTAACAGGGAAGTAAGAAGCCAGTAGAAAGTTCCACAGGTGAGAACAGCAAGAAAAGAACCTATTAGAATAGAACTTAGAGTTGCATCTAGCTATTTCAACAGTAAAACTATGAGACCTAATTGCCAATCTAGTCAGTCAGTTATGTGCCATGCCTGATACATGCTTAGGCAATCATGTATCTTTTGATACATGATTGACGAGGCAGATTTTTTTCCCGCAGTAGGTTGCCATTTCTTTCTGCATAGACCAGTTGCCATTCAAGGCTATAGAACCCGGACTGCCCTGCTATTTACCCATAGATGGGGCAGAGAAGAAGAGGATTCATACCATGCCATGTCATGTACACAAGTGTGAATTATCCCCATTCCCTTCATATTCCAATAGTAAGAAGTAAGTTCTTTTCAGACAGCTTTTTCACCCCAAGAACTGCTACTTTGTGGAACAGGACAACCTGCTGGCTGTTTTCCCAATTACTACAATCTTGACCTCTTCAAGTCTAATGTTAAACTCTATCTTTCCTGCATAACCCCATGAACTTCACTTCTTTCTCTTTCTTATGCTCATACAACACCACACAGTAACCCTCTACCTTGAATGGTTCTTGGGACTTGTATTGAGTTGATAGTATAATAAAAAAAAAAATTTCTAGGTTTTACTACATTATTCATTTGAACAGTTTGCCATTGTCATTTCGAAAACAATGTTATGTTGCTAGAACAAGGGAGGTAACTAGAGTTATCTCCCTTAAGATATGAAAAACAAAATAATACACAAATACACCTGGTGTATTGTGTAGCAAGATGTAAGTGAAAGACTCTTTTATTTGAAATTTCTTTTATCAATGCTCTTAAACTTTGTGATAAGAATGCAAAAATATTGGTTAATAGAAGTGTTAGAATTGTATGTGGACACTTGGAAATCAATATTTAAATTAAATGATTCTGGGAGTTTTATATAAAAGTTTTAGTAAGTTCTTTTTATGATTTTATCTTAGTTGTATGGTTGTTGAAAAGTTTTTTTGGTTCAACTCACTTCTCCAAATCTGATCAACTAACCAAACATCACTAATTATTAATGTTTCACTATGTATCTATATGACTTTGTTTACATAGAAGGGAGTGTAGAAAAGTTCTTATCCCAACCAAAAAGATTTTTTAAAAATGCTTAAGTTTGGTCATTTGGTCAGATTTTGTGAAGTGAGAACTTTTCAAGGCCTCTTTGTGTGTGTGTGTGTGTGTGTGTGTGTATTCATGATAAATACATTGTTTAAAAAAAAATTATTACAATATATATATATATATATATATATATATATATATATATATATATATTTGTAATTATTATTTTTTTTCAAAATATGTATTCATCACGACACAGAAAATTACCATGTTTCGAAACCTAAATCTCAAATTCAACTTAAAAGTGATGCAGATTTGAGATTTAGGTTTTGGTTTCAAACACAGTAATTTCTTTTGTCGCAATGAATACATATTTTAAAAAAATAATTATTTTATGCTCTACTGTTGTATCAAGCACTGTTTTTAAAAATAAATGCAAAAGATCTCTGGATTATAAATCTGACTGTTCTTTCTTTTTATTTTGATATATGTATGTATATATATATATATATATATATATATACACACACACACACAAATATGTATTTCTATAGCAACAGGTATTCTTAAATATGTTATGAAAACTTATGCAGGAGTGGTGGGGGTGCTGAAAATTTTTTGTATCTTTTCAACTCTTCCATGTTTAATGTATTTATTTAAGCTTTTATCTTGGATATATCCATTTAAATTCTAATGTACTTCTAAACTTTAACAGAAATCAGTCATTTATTTAACAGACAGACTACCATACACTAAGAACTGTTTTTGTCTCTCGTGTCTGATTTTTTTGAGATGCAAAATTATGCCTATTATTCTACACTGATTTGCTTGGACTCATGTTTATTTATTTCGTTTGTTATCATCACCACATCTTTACTGTTGTACCTGTTGAACTTTTTCAGTTATCTGTCAAAGTTGGTAAGCTTTCTGAAATTTCAAGCCAAACCCTTTATTCAATCCATGGAGACAGATTGTTCTCATTCCACTATCCATACTCGAAAATATCTCGTATCAGTTAATTCTCTCATTAATTCATCCCTCTAATGTCTCTTTCACTGAACTAGAGTATATCATATATTCACATTACCCAACCCAGGTATTGATCTCATGACCTTCAATTAACTTGATTCATTTAACCGACACTTTTATTAACTAGGCAATGTGTTCAATAAGAGGTCAGAAACTTGATGCCTGAAACTTAATGTCACTTGTGTTTTTCCCTTCAACAAAAATATATAACTCTTATTGTAATTACTTCATGAAATCTTTGCAGCTTTTGTCTATTTTCTCTGTCTTAATTAAAGGCTCTCTTATGGTGCATATTTTTCTGTTTTCTTCAATTCTATTAGTTTGTTAATCATTGTTATATAAAGCAGTGTTTGTGTATTAGTTCTGGATCTAAATAAATAAACCAATTTAAAAATAAAATGTGTTATTGTTGAACATCTTATTTCTGTTTATATATCTTTGTCAAATCACTATAACAGATACCACAATTAGATTGGGAGCAAAAATAATTAAAAAAAATGGATTTTGCTATAAATTATGGTCAAAAGCAACAAATGCAGGGTGCGATGGGTAAATTGTTGCAATTTTATATTTTTAACTTGTTTTAACTTGTGCGTTGTTTGTTTTTGATTTTGTCAGCTACATGGTGTAGTAGGGTTAGTCGGGCACTGTTTGTGAGAAAAAGAGCACCAAGGTGCAATTCACTCTACAAAAAATTTAGAAACGGCATGCTATACTGCTTGGCATTCGCACCAGAAGCTCCAATATGAACATTTCAGAGTGTTTGGGTATGAATCTGAGGACAATGCAGAGGATTCAGAAAGAGTTGGATGAGTCTAATGGTGATTAAAAAGGTACAGCAGCTTGGAAAACTCACTCTGATCATTCTGATAAGAAAAGAACTCCCTAATTTGTTGGTGAGATCCAGGCCATGATTGACAACAATCCATCCAAGTCAATCAGTGACACGGGAGTAATGAGTGATGAGTTTCTTATCAGGTAGATAGTGCATGACAACATTCAGTATTTCTCATACAAGATGAGAAAGGGACAATTTTTATCCCAAGCTATGAAGGGCAAGAAGAAAGACCATGCTACAAAGCTTTTGAACAAATTCTAGCATCCATTCTAACTGAACATGCTTTGGTTTTTCTGAGACCAGAAAAATTTCTGCCAGGATAAGATGGTAAGCACACAGAACAACTGTTGGTTGTGCTGTGTCCCCCAAAAGATGTACTGAGTGTGATGAAAACCAAATATCCAGTCAACATCATGGTGTTTGGGGTGATCACTAGTGATGGTGACACTATGCCTCTATTCATCTTCCCACAACACCTCACAGTCAACATGGAGGCCTACATCAAGTGCTTTGAGGAGCTAGTGATGCCCTGGTTCAGGAGGGTGGCTGCTAGAAGACCCAATGCCTGGCAACAGGACTGCACTATGCCACACAAGCTGGGGAACCCAGTCATGGCTGTCAGACAATTTCTGTGACCACATCATCCCTTACATCTGGCCACCTAACTTCCCAGACTGCAACACCCTTGATTATTATGTGTGGGGCACAATTGAGAGAGAGATCAACAAAACTCCTTGTAACACCAAAGATGAACTAAAGGCAAGGATTATGTCAGTATTCGCCAACTTAAACAAAGAGACCATTCAGAAGAGCTGCAGGAGATTCCAAAGTCATCTGGAAGCTGTGGTTGAAAACAAAGGCAGTTTTATTGAATAAATTTACTCTTTAGTATTTCAAGATATTTTTGTGTAAATATAGCTGTTAAAATGAGATGTCGGTGTTATTTTCCTTTTTATGCAATTTAGACAGCAATTTATCCATCGCTCCCTGTATGTTTATTGTAAAGGATCTTACTCAATGTAAAAAAAAAAAAAAAAAATCGATACAATTATTCAATCTAAAAAATGTGTTGGTAATTGTTTTTAGCATGATGTACTTAGATTTAATTTAGATGAATAATAATCGAAAATGAAATCTGAAATTAAGCAATGCCAAACCTGGTCAGTACCTAGATGGGTGACCGCTTAAGAATACCAGGCGCTGTAAGCTTGGATGTGTGGGTGGTCTAATTGATAATGACTCAAAATTGTTAATTGAAAAGCTGAGGTCCAATTCCAGTTGAGTTTGTTATATTCACTTACATGCAAATACACTTGGGCAAAGTGTAAATCTACCTCTTCTCCCCCAGGTATGTGTTAATTAGTAAGACTTGTATCACAATCATTATCTCAAATAAAAAACTTGTACAATCTAAAAATATTTTCAGGTTTTAAATAACCTGCAAAATGTTGATAAGCCATAGAAAACAATCAATCGAAAATCAAATTTCTGTTTATGAATGAAAAAAAATTACTTTTATTTTTATTAATTTATTTTTTACTTTTTCATATACACTTTAGACATTTTATTCTATGAAAAACAGAGAAAATAGTAGCAAGCAATGCTTAAATGTTGAAGTAAATTATTCCTTTGTGTTACTAATATCTTTGGTAGTACCATTTAATTGTAATGATAATATAATATTTTAAATATGATTAGTTGTTTAAATATTTTCCTTTTTAAGCTGTTACTTTAGAATGTTGTCAAATGTTTCTTATTTTCACTTAGATTTGTTTCTTATATATATATATATGTATATATTTTTTTTTTTCCATTTTATTTTATAGACTTTGGATTTGCCAATTTCTATAAACCCAGTGAGCAATTAAACACCTGGTGTGGAAGTCCACCTTATGCAGCCCCAGAAGTTTTTGAGGGCAAAAAATATTTAGGGCCCCAGATAGATATTTGGGTAAGTATTCACTCAGCTGTAATAGAAGTAGAGGAAAAAGATTTAAAGTATTAATAATCTTGTGGATATACACATACAGCTAAAACTTTGATAGTGTCTGCTTGAAATTAAATAGAATAAAAACGGCATGCACTGGTGCCATAGTTGTAAGAATCCAGTAAATGAAACGAAAATAGAAACCAAATACAAATTTCATTAAAATCAATTGCGGGATAATGGAGCTAGAGCCATTTTTCTGCCCTTTATAACACTAGAATTTTTTTGCAACACACTAACATATTATTGAAGTTATCATTAATGTTTTGTGTCAAGATTTACAAACTCTACATTTCTTTGATTTCTCAAACCAATCAATGAAATTTGAATAAGTTGACTTGTTTGGAAAAATACTTTGGCAAAATCTCTACTTCACGGTTTAATAATTTCTTTAATTTCATAGAACTTCATAGTAAACAATATTTTTTTTAAGAAAATTTCTTTTTTTCCTTTTTAATAGCAAAGAAGAAATTCTTAGGATTTCTTGCTCTTCAGTGTGCAACATACAACTAGCCATGCATAAATATTTCTTTCTGGAGCCAAATTCCAACTTTTTGAAGCATTTGACCTTGTGATTTGTTTATAGTTCTTACAAATGCAGAGCAAACTGAAAACTGGATTCTTCTATATAAAGACTTAAAGATATACAAAAAAAAACAGTATTCCATTTTTATTAAATGAGTATTTGCTATTTTAATCATTATTTTTAAAATAGAATATTTTTGTATGTTAAATAATAAACCTTTTAATTATTCCAAAATTAAAATTTATTATACTAAGCTATCCCCTGAGTAAAACTAACTTTACTTTGTACCCCCTTACTTGTTTGCACTTCTCCCCAAAATTTGGTTTCAATTGGTCAATGTATGGTTATTTTAGAGGGTGGGAGCAGATGGACAGATGGACTAATAGAAGTCACAGAATTTTATATGTAGATAGATTTTACCTGACTGAAAATTTAAAGTCTGATTTCCATTATATATATTAACTGATGATGTTATTTTTTAAATGTTCAAACAGTAATGTTAATTTCTTTCTCTTATATAAAATATTTGCCCTAAAACCAATTTACTTTCCCCAGTATAGATACAATTTTGTTTTTGTTTATAGTCTTAAAAATTAAGTGTAGCTAAAAAAAAAATGCTAGCGTGTAAGGATACTTAAATTTTCTTCATTAAGCCCACTTCCCAAAATCTGTTCAAGACCAAATAATAAAACATCAGAATTTATTTTGAAATACATTCTTGATTGTTCAAAGAACTTTGAAGCAACCCCTTGTAGAATATGATATCAGACAATGAAGAAATAATCCTATAAGAATATTGCTCCCATAAAACTTGTTCCTTTAATGCCAATTTGAAAATTATTTCTATAATCATTCAAATAAAAAAAAAAAAAGATCAAAGTATTTTATTTATTTACATTTCTTTGTTGTTCTTTAGAGTCTTGGTGTGGTTCTGTACGTGTTGGTGTGTGGTGCCCTGCCATTTGACGGGGAGAATTTGCAGACCTTACGAAACCGTGTGCTATCAGGTCGTTTCAGGATCCCGTTCTTCATGTCCACAGGTCAGCCATTTTTTTTTTTTTTGTAATTTCTATTATACTCTCTATACATATTGCAATTTTGCAATCCTAAATGTCACAAAGGAATTCTTTTGCTCAGTACAACAATATATTTCTATTTTTTTTTTTCCACCTTGAGTCAGAAACCTGTGACAACTTCACACTCATAAAGTTGAGATTACAAAGTATGTGTACAAGGTTTTGTATTATTTTTAAGGATTCTAAATTTCTGCAGATTGTATTATGTAACAAACACATTTTAAATCTAAAATGTACTAATTTACTTATACTATAAAAAATGACAATGCATTTTAAATCCTTAATTTTTTTTGATATTCTATGACTATTAAATAAACAGCCTGGATCAGAAGCAACAAATAAGAATTTATTAAATGACACATTGTCATTATTATTAATTTCAGATTGTTTCTCTTTCATCTTATCTTTTTATCCTAACATTCAGGTCATTTTACATTTTATGACTGTTAAGGAAGCACCCTGGGTCAGAAATACTATTTTGTTTTTTTTTACTTCTTTTACAGAATGTGAGCACCTGATTCGTAAGATGTTACTTCTGGATCCTGCCAAACGCTATACCATCTCACAAGTGAGAAATCACGAATGGATTCAGGCAGATGGGGGGCCTCCAAAAAGCTTACCTCCTAGTCCAGTTATTGGTGTCAAGGGTCAAGTAGGAGAATTCAATGAACATATTTTACGTTTGATGCACAGTAATGGCATTGACCAACAACGGACAATAGAAGTAAGTTGAATAACTTCTTGATTTACATGAGAAAAAATTTTCTTTTACTATGTTTTATGTACAAATTAGTGTTTTACTTATATTGGATCGAAAGGGCTTTGTAATTACCTTTATTGTAATTATTTGCAATGTATGCCTATTAAATTTTTTTCCCTTTACATGTATGATTTTACACTCAGAATTACTGATTTGTTTTTGCCTGTGCTAATATTGCAAAAGATGTTTGTGTGCGTGTAAAGAAAGGGGGAATGGAGATATATGCACACACACACACACACAAAAATGGAAATAGATCTAAGAACACATAGGGGTCATTGAAACATTAAAAGATAAGATACCGGTAATTAATTCATCATTTCTCTTGGACCAACCTTAATTGTTTTATGACCCTTCATGCAGAACTCTTCATTGCCAATTCAAGAAAGACATTCTGGTTACTAACACAAAAACAGAGAATGTCTCATCTCGAGAATATTTAACATTGAAAAGCATAAAGGAAAAAAATTAATTATTTTTAATCATATGTGGAAATCTCCACCTTTTACCTGATTTTGACTGTCGCAAGACCAGAAACCTGTGTAGTAAAATTATGGAAAATAAAGCATAATATTTTTTTTCTAAAAAAATCCACAGTACAACCAAAAACGTTTGCGGTACCTCTCTTCTTTTTAATATATAAACTTTTCTCTCGTTGGAACTACTATAACCTCTTTCTTCTCTCTCTCTCTCTCTATATATATATATATATATATATATATATAGCATGTTCAATAACTTGGACAGATTTTAAACTTAATTCACATTTGAAATCAGTCCAAGTTATTGGAACACCCTTTATATATAATATTATTTTTAGTGGATACTCATTATTTCTGTGAACAGTATATTTATTTTTGTCTACTGACCTGACACTAATGAGATTTCTCAAATATTCAGCCTGGTAGACAAAAAAAAAAATAAATACTGTTTGATTAATAAACAGAGCATCTACTCAAATATGAATATCCACTAAAAATAACATTTAAAATATATATATATATATATATATATATATATAATAAAGAGAGAGTTTTTAGGTATGCTATATTTATGGGTTAAAAGTGCTCAATAATTCATGGCCTGGAGTTTAAGCATGAAACAGACTGTCACCTCTGGATATTGACCTCAATGTCACTTAGATATTTACAAACTGTATAAATCAAACTATATTCCAAAATGTAACTTCAACAAAACTACAATATAAAAACGCATATCACTATATAAAATAGTACCCAGCTACTGTGGTCTATCCTAGATATCTGCAATAATAAAAAAAATATTACAAGAGAAAAGAAAGCAGAAAATATTTTATAAAAAGCAAGCTACCATTGCTGTTGAACATTAGCAAAATCAGTTTTATTATAAATGGCATTTCTCTTCAGCTACATTTTTTTTTCTTTTGTAGTTTGCAGTTGGTTAATGATAGCAGTGTTCTTGAGGCATAGTTAGGTATGCTGGATCAGCTGAATATCATACCTACTTACTTAATGATACTTCTCACCTGTCTTTTGGACAGGAGTAGAGCTTTATCCCTTGTTTCCCTGTTTAGGATTGCGTTTCCAGTTCCTTCTAAAGCCTTTTCATTCTCTTTCACTCCCAGTAGCCTCTTACATCTTAGTGGTATTATCACCTTGCTTGGGATAATTTGATTTAAAAAATCCCTTTCACAGCAGTAGCAGTACTAGTTCTTCTACTACTACTACTATTGATGGTATTATTATTATTATTATTATAATATTGTTCACTTCCAAAGAAAATTAAACAAATCTGTAAACACTATTTTTTCTAAATTCAAAGTAAGTCCTTACCTGACTTTGTCATGTTAATAGTGAGATATATATATATATATATATATATATATATATATATATTGTATATTTAGGCAGCAATCCTTCGTTTATGCATGTTATATTAAAAAACGACAGACAAGGTACTGCGGTAAAGTTTTTTATTTAATTTTTCTTGTTTTTGAACAAGAGCTTTCTTTTCTGGACAAAGAGTCTGTAAAAACTGTCCAAATGTTTTATAGTTCTGAGTGCTTTCAGCTTAATTGAGTGTGTGCATTATTTGTATGTTTTAGTGTGTTGTAGATATGTTTTTAATTTCCGAATATGGTTAGCACATTGGCCTTTTTCATAGTTAATATTGTTAAGAGTTGGCTTTTTCTTTTCTATTATTTTTAATCTTTTTTTACAAGTGGATGAAGTTATTATATTTGTGTTTTCTACTAGTATGTTTCTAATGGAGTCTGGTAAGTTTGTGTGTGTTTAAATGGGTTCTAATGGAGCTGTGATCAGATAGGTGTAACGTAAGGTGTCTGCATAAGCATGTAGTTGTGTAACCGATGTAATTATTTATGAGTCTGTTTTGGAACACAGTTCCTTAAGGGACATTTGAACACACTCTTTGTCCAGAAAAGATAGTTCTTGTTTGAACACAAGAAAAATTAAAAATCTTAACTGTAGTACCTTGTCTGTCATTTTTAATGAAACATGCGCACATATATATCTCACAATTCAATTTTAAAGAGTCAGAAAGTTTCATGACTATGAGAAACTTAAATTTAATTTTTTTTTTTTTTTTTTTTTTTTTTTTTTAAGTAAGGAGCCTCATTGAAAGTACAGACACTTATCAGAACTGAAGTGAATTTAAGTTCTGCTCAGTGGTGATGAAATATTACTAGCTTTGTTTTGGGAGGTATTGAATGATACAAAACAGTCTTTATTTTGGGGGTATTGAATGATACAAAACAGTCTTTATTTTGGGGGTATTGAATGATACAAAACAGTCTTTATTTGTTCTTTAAACTTTAACATATTTCTTTTTCTCTTTTGCAGTCATTACGGAACAATGCATATGATCCATTCAGTGCAATTTATTGCCTGTTGCTTGACCGCTTGAAACAACATCGTAGCAGTTTCCCCATCTACAATCGAATCGATGCACGCAAACGCCGACCCAGTCAAATAGCAGAGCAAGCTGTGCACCGGCGCTTACCCTACCAGACAGCTAACCAAACAATACCCAGTGTTTCACTCTTAGTAAATGTGAAGCAGGGTTTATTCAACCAGACAATGGACTGTGTATCCCCACCTGGCCCAAGTTCTCTACCCCAAAATGTTAGCCCTAATTATACAGACAACATAGATACTACGGCAACACGAATTGGGTCAACTCAACCTCTGCCACCTCTACAGCCAGCTCCCTCATCAGTCACGTCCCCTATATCAAAGGCCACCTGTTTGGCTGATGTACTTGCACAAACATGTTTGAAGCCATCCCATGCCATGACCAGTCAGCTGATAACGTCTTCGATAGACGAAGGAGTTGAAGCAGATATTCTTGAAACAGATACAGATAGCTACAGCTCAGATAGCCGAAAAAGTAGTCACAAATATTCAGATTCAGACTCTGTGGGTGGGATTCTGCCCTGTAGCATGTATAGGGACATTTCTCCACTGACAAGCGTTGACAGCAGTCAGTCATCACTCAATGCAACACTCTCCTCCCCCTTCACCAGTTTTGACTCCACCCTGGAAGCGGATATCAATATGAGTCAGTCCCCTTCTTCCTATGCTAATTATCCACTGGCAACAACTAGTCCACTTCCAGTCCAGACTGCTGCCATGGCAACATCAATGATTCCCCCTCCCTTATACAGCAACATGGCCCCTCTGGTGACCACTCAGGTTAGTGCTGACCAGAGTCAAGACCGAAATGAAACCCACTCCCCAGTTGATTTCCGAGAGGGTCGACGTGCATCCGATGGTCAGATGACACAGGGGATGATAGCATTTCGGCAACAGCTCCGTGATACAACGAAAGCCCAAGGCATTGTTGAACTGCGTCAAGAGTTTCAAGAACTTGCTAGTGGCAGTGGTCCTTCAAAAGCATCTGCAGAATTGAGCAAGTCTCGACCACACAGAACATATGAGAGAATGAAGTGGCGACAATGGTCTCTGGAAGAGGCACCAACCTCTAAGCCTCGCCAGGTGCTAAAACGTATGAGTTTACCAACAGAGACTACAGACCTGCAACCCCATCGGCTGCTGGCACTGAAACAGAGCATGCAGGTAGAGCAACAGTTAGATCAGGCAGGACAGAGTGAGCCGACAGCCCAGTTATTGCTACACCCTCAGACAGGAGGAGCAGCAGTGGCTGAATATACGCCAGGAATGAACAGATCTCAGTTTTTGGTTCACCAAATGCGATTACAACAAAAGAGACAAAATTTTCATAAGCAGTGCATGCTCCAGCATCAGTTCCAACAATTGCACATAGATGCATCTGGAACTGCACCTGCTCCTCAACCACATCAATATCCTGCTCAGTATAGCATGTATTATATGCCCCCACAGCCCCCTCAGCCTGCTGTGACACCTTCAATCCCTCATTCATTACCATTGACTGAGCCTCACCCACCTGCAACGCAGCAAGATACTCTGGTGTCTGGAACAACATCTTGTTACTCTCTCCCTTTACAAAATTGGCATTCACAATCATTCCCATCACATCAGTCCCCTCATCAACCCACTATACCACCCTTAACAACACCTCCCAGCTTAGGAACAATGAAACATGGACCTTTAGAAAGGCTACCTCAGGAGCCTATACCCCCAACGTTACCCAGCTCTCAACAGAAGATGTCTGTCAGTGTGTCTCCAAACTATGCTCTCCCACCTGAGCTGACTCAGTCACCTGCATCACCACCCTTACTGACACACTGCCAGTCAGGAGAGGCCCAAGAACTTGCCATGTGTAACAGAATGATTGCAGTAGCTCCTCAGCAGAATTCTCCTTCAAACACTACATATGAAACACAGATCTACACTGGTTGTGATGCTCTAACCCGCCATGAAATCTCCAATCTACCATCAGTTGTTGAGGCTGAAACACGAAATTGTACAGCTGGAACACACCTGCTTCATCCAAATCAACGTATGCACATGCCATCACAGGCCCATGGCTTGCCAAGTGGTTCATCACATCGAGGTGTTGCTGTCGTAAGTCAGAGTGAAGTGTCTATTGATTCTCTTCTTAAGGAGGCCTCACAGCCACCTTATACCAGTGTACAAAGTGCAGACCTTTTGTATGAGCATACAAGTGCACCAACAACAGAATGTACACTTT